ACTATTGTCTGGACTACAGATTATCCTATAGTCAGGACTATAGTCAGGACTATATACAAAACTATAGTCTAGACTATATACTAAACTATAGTCTGTACTATAGACTAAACTAGACAAAAGACTAAACTATAGTCTGGACTATAGACTAAACTATAAGCTAGAATATAGACTAAACTATATCCTAGGCTATAGACTAAACTATAGTCTAGACTATAGACTAAACTATAGGCTAGACTATAGACTAAACTATAGGCTAGACTATAGACTAAACTATATCCTAGGCTATAGACTAAACTATAGACTAAACTAAAATCTAGACTATAGACTAAACTATAGTCTAGACTATAGACTAAACTGTAAACTAAACTATAGTCTAGACTATAGACTTAACTAGACTATAGACTTAACTACAGTCACAACTACTAACTAAATTGTAGTCATAACTACAAACTAAACTACAGTCTGGACTGTAGACTACACTATAGTCTGGACTATAGACTAAATTATAGTCTAGACTATAGTCTAAAATATACTCTGGACTATAGACTTAACTATAGTCAGGACTACAAACTAAACTATAGTCTGGACTATAGACAAAACTATAGTCTAGACTATAGTTTAGACTAAACAGTAGTTTTAGTTAAAAATTAAATTATAGACTGGTCTTTAGAATATAGTCTGGACTATAGTCTTAACTCTAGCTTAATCTTTAGTCCAGACTAAAGCCTAGTATATGGTTTATATTGTAGTCCAGTCTTTAGTCTGGTTTCTAGTGTAGTTTATGGTCAGCTATAAAGAACCAATTGACAAATATGATTTGCTTACAACTAAAGTCGTTTAATTATAAACTAAAATTTTTAGAATAATTTATAAACTCTGTCATATAAATACAATTTAATTATTATTTATTACCATTTTCTTTTAATTACTCCTTTTTATTAGATTTTTATTTCAATTTTTTTTTTATAGAGTTTGTTTGTTGTTTGGATTTATATTTTTGTTAAGTGTAAATATTTATCTATTGTTTTTTTTTTATTCCTTTTTATTCAAATAAATACATATTTTCTAAATACATATTGGATTTAATTTACTATACTGTTGTTGTTATTAATGATGAGGTAAATGTTTATATTTGTTTTTGTTATTTGTTTAGTTTTATTATTTGCTTTTTTCTGTTTTTTTATTAACTATTATTTTAGAATATGTGTGTAAGAATATGAGCAATCTTTGGTTGTTGTTTTTTTAAATGTTTGGTTTTTTGTTTTAGATTTTTTTCTTTAAATTGTTTAAAATTTCAAACTACTGAGTATATGAGAGGTATTAAAGAATTTTGTTAAGTTTGTAATTTGTTTTTTTGGGGTTTAAAAGTGGTTAATAGTTAGTTGTTGGTGTAGATTTTATGGTTGAGAAAAACACAAGAATTAAGAAATTTGTAAGAATTTAAAGAAATTTTAACATTTATGGTTTAAAAAAGTTATAAACAATCATTTTTTAACATGTTTCACTTAATACCATTTCGTTGCTCTAAAGAAATTTAAGCAAAAATGCATTTGTATAACGTAAAATATTACTGTTTAGAAAAACCAGCTATTTTCTTCACTAAATCCCCGATTTTTTTAGGTGTTTCATTAAATTCCATTTTGTTCCTCTTAAGAAAATTTGTTAAAATTGAAACTTTTTGTATATTTCTTTGGGAAACATAAACATTGAGGAAAATTTTAACAATTTTCTATATAAAAAAAATACATTTTATAGGTGTTCCATGAAACTCCATTTCGTTCCTCTTAGGAAAACTGTTAAAATGTAGTATTTTTTAAAGAAACTTTATATAGAATCTTATTTTATAAATAATAAACTTCAATTTGTCATTAATAATATTGCATTTTGAGCATGTTTCATTAAATTCCATTTCGTTCCCTATATGAAATTTTTACAAATTAAGTATATTTTGTAGAAAAATTATTTGTTATAATTAAAATCTTTAAATTTTTAATAATAATAAAATATTTTGAGAGTGTTTCATTAAATTCCATTTCGTTCCTCTTAAGAAAATATCGCAAATTTAGTTTTTTTTATGAGAAAATTACTTTTAAACATGTGTAAGAATAAAAATCTTTAAATTTTCTTTTAAAATTTCCAATTTGAAATGTGTTTCATATAATTCCATTTTGTTCCCCTTAAGAAAATATCTCAATTTTAGTATTTTTTAGGAGAAAATATTTTAAAACATGTGTTAGAATAAACATCTTAACTTTTCTTTAAAAATTTCCAATTTGAAATGTGTTTCATATAATTCCATTTCGTTCCTCTTAAGAAAATTCGCAAATTTAGTATTTTTTTCAGATAAAATTACCTTTAAGCATGTGTGAGAATAAAAATCTTAAACTTTTCTTTAAAACTAACTTATTTTGAATGTGTTTCGTTAAATTCCATTTCGTTCCTCTTAAAAAATTTTCCAATTTAAGTATTTTTTAGGTTAAAATTACTAAAAAAAATGTGTTAAAATAAAAATCTCGAAATTTTCTTTAAAAGTAATGTAATTTGAATGAGTTCCATTTAATTCCATTTCGTTAATTTTAAGAAAATACATCAAATTTAGTATTTTTAGAAGAAAATTACTTTTAAGCATGTGTGATAATAAAAGTCTTTAACTTTTTTTTTTAAATTTCCAATTTGAAATGTGTTTTACATAATTCCATTTCGTTCCACTTAAGAAAATATCTCAAACTTAATATTTTTTAGAGAAAAATTACCTGCAAATAATAATCTTATATTTTTCTTTAAAAATAACGTATTTGGAATGAGTTTCATAAAATTCCATTTCGTTCCTGTAAGGAAAATTTCCTAAATTTAGCCATTTTTGTTAATATTATTAAGAGAAATATTAGGAGAAAGTCTTAAATACATTGTATAAGCATCTTTTCCTTAGCGTTTCATTGGATTCCATTTCATTCCTCTAAAGAAAATTTGCTGAATTCAAATATTATTGTTAATAATTAAGGAATTTCTTGGAAGAAGTTTTAAATACTTTATTAAGAAACTTTTTTTTATTGTTTCATTGGATTCCATTTTGTTCCTCCAAAGAAAATATACAAAATTTTACAATTTTTGTTTATGTTTAAGGAAATTCTTAGAGGAAGTTTTAAATACTTTATTAAGAAACTCTTTTTTTAAGTGTTTCATTGGATTCCATTTCGTTCCTCTTAAGAAAATTTGCTAAATTAGCTTATTTTTGTTAATATTTAGAATAATTTTTAAAGAAACCCTTAAATACATTGCATAAAGTTTAATATTTTAGTGTTTCATTAGATTCCATTTCGTTCCTCTAAAGAAAATTTTTATAAATTTGCCTAATTTTGTTAATATTTAGGGAAATATTAAGAGGAAGCCTTAAATACTTTGAATAAAATTCTTATTTTTTAGTGTTCCATTAGATTCCAATTCGTTCCTCTTAAGAAAATTGTTTAAATTTGGCTATTTTTGTTAAATTTTAAAGAAATTCTTAGAGGAAGCTTTATTTACTTTATTAAAAAAATGTTTTTTAAGTGTTTCATTAGATTCCATTTCGTTCTTCTAAAGAAAATTAGCTAAATTTGGCTATTTTTGTTAATATTTAGGGACATTTTTTAAAAACCACCTTAAATACATTAGAGAAAACTTTAAATTTTAGTGTTTCATTAGATTCTATTTCGTTCCCTTTTAGAGAATTAGCTAACTTTGGCTATTTTTATTAATATTTGGAGAAATTTGTAAAGAAAACCTTAAATACTTTAGAGAAAACTTAAAATTTTAGTGTTTCATTAGATTCCATTTCGTTCCCCTTAATCAAAAGTTGCTAAATTTACCTATTTTTTTGGTGAAATTTAAGAGTTAACCTTAAATATATGAAACAAATAGTGATTTTTAGTGTTCCACTAGATTCCATTTCGTTCCCCTAATAAAATTTTTTACTTTTAGCTTGAAAATTTTTTAATTTCTTGAATTTTTCTTAATTCTTGTGTTTTTCTTTTTGTGTATTTTTTAATTTTTGTTGTAATTTTTTTTTGGTTTAAGGCTTCTAAAGGTTTGTTTTAGTTTTATATAGTTCAAATTTTGTTTATATATAAATATTTGTTTTAAATGTTTAAGGGAATGCATAAATGTGGCGTTTTTATTTTAAATAAATATTGCATTGATATGTGAATCAATTATAGAACTACTATTAAATAATGCGAGGATTTAGTACCTATTTTTAAACATAAACTATTAATTAAATAATTTTTTTTTTGCAAAAATAAAACAAATTATAATTGAAGCAAAACTGTTATGGTTTTAAAAAATTATGTTAAAATTCAGTCTATAAAGGAAATTGAGAAATCAATTAAAAACTATGAAAAAAGCTACAAATGGTTGAGCTATAAATGATTTAAAGTTTTAGTTTTATTGTTTTTTGAAATAATTTTTATAGTTTTTTTAATGTTTTAAAATTTTGGAATGTTTTTTGTTTAAATATTTATAATACTGTTTGATTTTAATGTTAATTTTTTAATATTTTTTTTAATTTAAATTATTATTTAAATTTTTTTTCTTAAATACTTGCAAATCAATACTAAATTTTTTTATCAACTTAAACTAATTATTTAGTGTTTTTTTAAATACTTAAATAAATTTAATTTTTAATATATTTTTTTTTTGGTATAAATATATATTAATTTTTTGTTTTTGTTATTTAAATTAAATTATTACTTTTTTAAATGAACTTGTAGTTCTTTGTTATTAATTCTTGTTTATTTAATTAATTTTTTTTTTTCAATACAAAAGTTTTTTGTTATTTTTTTATTAATTTACAAAAATTTCAAACACCAATGGCTTTAAGCTACTTACACAAAAATTGAATTTATTTTTGTTTATTTAATTTAATTCTTTTTTCAATTAAAACTTAAATTCTTTTGGTTTTTTTATATTGTTAATTATTATTTCAATTAAATATAAATTATATTTAATATTAAAATAAACCCCTTGCACCGATATTTAGTTAGCTTTATATGTGTTTTTGTAATACATAAATCAATAATAATTGAAATCAATCAAATTATTAAAAAAAAAATATTAATTTTGTTTTTTTTTTTCATTAATAAATAATTTTTCTTAAATTTCCTTTTAATTTTTTTAGTGTAGAGTTGAAATCTTTAAATTTTAAACTTAAAAATATTTAAAGAAAAATTATAAAGTTTTTAAATTTGTTTGTTTCTTTCATAAAATCCATGAAATTTTTAGCTAAACCTGAACAAAAATTCTGTCAAATAACCACTTTTAAGCAGAAATGTTTGAGTGAGTAAGAGAAAATACCAATTAACGCTTAATTAAACATGTTTCACTTAATTCCATTTCGTTCCGCTAATGAAATTATCCAAAATTTATATCAAAATAAACAATAAAAGAAAAATTCTATTACTTTCATTTGCAAAATGTCATTTTGAAAGTGTTTCACTAAATTCCATTTCGTTTCTGGAAGAAACTTTAAACATTTTTGAAGCCTAAAATACTTAAAAATTATGCTAGAATATTCAAGAAACATTTTTCGCTCTTAAATATAGAAATTTAGTTCTGTTTCACTAAATTCCATTTCGTTCCTTGAACAAAATTAGGATTTTAACTGCTAAAAATCCTTTTTAATTAAACAATAATAACTAAAGAACACTTTCCGCTGTTAAATTCATAAATTCTAAACTGTTCCACTTAATTCCATTTCATTCCGATAATGAAATTTAGTTTAATTTTCAAAATTTTTGTTCTAATTTTTTCATAACAAAGAAAAACAGAAATATTGTTTCAATTTCTGTTAAAAAAAGTGTAATTTTGAAAGTGTTTCACTAAATTCCATTTTGTTCCAGGAACAAATTTTAAAAATTTTAAAGCCTAAAATACTTTAAAATGTTGTTATAACCTTTAACAAACATTTTTCTTAGAAAAATTTAGAAATCTAGCTCTGTTTCGTTAAATTCCATTTCGTTCCTGGAACTAAAACTTACATTTTTAAGGCTTAAAATCCTTCTTAGTTAAGTAGTAATAATTCAAATACATTTTCCCCTGTTAAAGCTATAAATTCTAAACTGTTTCACTTAATTCCATTTCGTTCCTTGAACAAAAATTTGATATTTTATTGCTTAAAATCCTTTGAAATTAAGGGGTAGTATCAACCAAACTTTTTCCTATGTTTAATTTTTAAATACTAAACTGTTTCACTTAATTCCATTTTGTTCCGCTAATGAAATTTAGTCAAAATCGCATAATTTTGTTAAAATTTATTTTACAATAAACAAAAACTGTAAAATTCTTTTATTTACACTTAAAGAAAGGAAATTTTGTGTTTCATTAAATTCCATATTGTTCCTCTTAAAGAAATAGGTTCAAATTATATATTTTTTTTTTAATTTTTTATTAAAATCGTTTATTTCAGATAAGACTAATGAAATCTCAATAATAAAATGCTGATTTCGGAGTGTTTCATAAAATTCCACTTCGTTCCTCAAATGAAAATTTTATATTTTTAGGCATGAAAAGTGTGGAAACGTTATGGTTAACAATAAATCTTGTGATTTTTAAGCATTTTGGTTAGTGTTTCATTAAATTCCATTTCGTTCCTCTTACAAAAATATGTAACAATGTTGAAATTTTGTTAAAATTTTTATTAAAATTGCTTACTTAAGACAAAAACAACTAAATCTCATTAATGGAATCCTAATTTTAGAGTGTTTCATTAAATTCCACTTCGTTCCTCTAATAAAAATTTTATATTTTTAAGAATAAAAACTGTGGAAATATTATGATTTACAATATATAAAAAATCTAGGGATTTTTAAGCATTTTAGCTAATGTTTCATTAAATTCCATTTCGTTTCTCTTAAGAAAATTTGTTAAAACGTTGAAATTTTGTTAAAATTTTTATTAAAATTGCTTTCTTAAGACAAAAACAAGGAAATCTCATTAATAGAATCCTAATTTTAGAGTGTTCCATTAAATTCCATTTCGTTCCTCTAATCAAATTTTTCTATTTTAAGGCATGAAATGTATGGAAAAGCTATGGTTTACAATAAATAATAAATCTAGGGATTTTTAAGCATTTTGGTTAGAGTTTCATTAAATTCCACTTCGTTCCTCTTAAGAAAATATGTTAAAACGTTAAAATTTTGCGACTTTTTTTTAGCAATATCGTTTGTTATCGACAAAAGGAACGAAATCTCTTTAAAATCTCTTAATTTTTGAGTGTTTCACTAAATTCCATTTCGTTCCTTCTACAGACATTTCATAATTGAAAGCATGAATAGTGTGAAAAAGTTATGATTTACAACAAATAAACAATCTATGGATTTTGAAGCATTTTGGTAAGTGTTTCATTAAATTCCATATCGTTCCTCCTAAGAAAATTGGTTGAAATGTTAACTTTTTATAAATTTTTAATAGAAATAGTTTATTTTGGTCTTGAAACAACAAAATCTTTTTGATTTGGAATTTTGGAATATTTCATTAAATTCCATGTCGTTCCGTGAAGAATTTTAGCTTTAATATTCCTCTCACTCAAACATTTCTGTCTTACTACAGCATTTCCTGCCCTTTTCCTTATAAAATTTCTTTATTTAACACGATTTATCTTTATAGTCAATTTTCTTACCCTGTTTGTTGCCGATATTGTTGTCAACATCCCCCATCGTGGGCGCTACATTATGGCTCACCAGACAATCGGCAGCATCGGCATTATCCTCATCTCCCTTAAGTCGGCCATAGTTATCGGCCTGCTCTTTATAGGCCTGACATTGACTGCAATGTTTTTCTAAAAATTTCATGGACAAATGAAAGGTATATCGGTGCCGGGTACAACGTCTTTACATTTTGTATTCCACAATTTGATTGGGATTTAGGAATTGTTCACGTTGTGCCGCATCTAAATGAGCCACAGTACGTGATAGAGCTGATGAGGCAGCAGCTGTGGCAGATGATGCATTGCCACCGCTAGTGGACTTTTGTTGTTGTTGTTGATGATGTGGTTGCTGCTGGTGTTGCTGTTGCTGTTGATGATGTTTGTTACTGCCATCATGCTGCTGATAGATATCAGCTGAACTAATCACACCCACATTTACCCCAGCCACTACGGGTTGCTGTTGATAACCCGAATATTGGGGTGGATACTGATGGGGATGATGTTGATGTGGCTGCTGTTGTTGTTGCTGCTGTTGTCCAGCCATCACATGCTGATGACTAGGAGCATTAGCATAAACATGTTCCGTTGACAATTGTTGTGTGGCCGCTGCACTGGTGGCCACCGTTAGATGTGTACGATGCGGCTGTTCCGAATGCACTGTAGTGGGGAATTGTTGTTGATGCGAATAGTCAGCACTACTACCGCCACCCAAACGCGTAGCACACGAGTCCTCATTGAGACCCTCACAAAACTCACCGTCACGATGATGTGAACCACGTATGCAGAGTTTAGTAAACAGCCAGACACGGGCGCGATATAGCAGAAAACAACAGAAGTGTACAATGAAGACAAAGATAATGGCACAAACCGTAACGATAATGGCTTTACCCGGTTTGGTCCAATCTAACATAGGATAAATGGCCACTTGAAGTTTTCTAAAGAGAAAAAAAGTCAAATTTATATAAAAATGAAGATCATTTATTAGGAATTTATGTCAAGACAAAAGTCTCTAAAGATATTTTTGTCTTAACACAAAATTTCCTAAAGAAATTTATGTCTTAACATAACATTTTCTAAAGAAACTTATGTCTAAGAAAAATTTATATAAAAATGATGATCATTTATTAGGAATTTATGTCAAGACAAAAGTCTCTCAAGATATTTTTGTCTTAAGACAAAATTTCCTAAAGAAATTTATATCTTAACACAATATTTTCTAAAGATATTTTTGTCTTAACACAAAATTTTCTAAAGAAATTTATTTCTTAAGAGAAAATTTTCTAAAGAAATTTATGTCTTAACAGAAAATTTTCTAAAGAAACTTTTGTCTAAGACAAATTTTTCTAAAGAAATTCATGTCTTAACACAAAATTTTCAAAAGAAATTTATGTCTTAACACAATTTTCTAAAGAAATTTGTGCTCAACACAAATTTTTTGTACAAAATTTCCAAAGAAATTTACAAATTTTCAAGACAAAAGTCTCTAAAGATATTTTTGTCTTAACACAAAATTTCCTAAAGAAATTTATGTCTTAACATAACATTTTCTAAAGAAATTTATGTCTTAACACAAAAATTTCTAAAGAAACATTTTCAAAAGAAACTTATGTCTAAGAAAAATTGATATAAAAATGAAGATCATTTATTAGGAATTTATGTCAAGACAAAAGACTCTCAAGATATTTTTGTCTTAAGACAAAATTTCCTAAAGAAATTTATATCTTAACACAACATTTTCTAAAGATATTTTTGTCTTAACACAAAATTTTCTAAAGAAATTTATTTCTTAACACAAAATTTTCTAAAGAAATGTATGTCTTAACAGAAAATTTTCTAAAAAATCTTTTGTCTAAGACAAATTTTTCTAAAGAAATTCATGTCTTAACACAAAATTTTCAAAAGAAATTTATGTTTTAACACAATTTTCTAAAGAAACACATTTTTTGTACAAAATTTTCAAAGAAATTTACAAATTTTCAAAAAAATTATGTCAAGACAAAATCTTCTAAAAAAAGATAATGTCAAGACAAAATTTTCTATAAAAAATATGTTATGACAAATTTTTGTAAAAAAGATAATGTCAAGACAAAATTTTCTAATAAAATGGGTCAAACCTTTATTTTCTTAAAAAATTATGTCAAGACAAAATTTTCTTAAAAAATTATGTCAAGACAAAATTTACTTAAATAATTATGTCAAGACAAATTTTTTGTAAAAAATTTCCAAAGAAATTTACAAATTTTCAAAAAAATTATGTCAAGACAAAATTTTCTATAAAAAAAAATATGTTAAGACAAAATTTTCTAAAAAAGATAATGTCAAGACAAAATTTTCTATAAAAAAAATATGTTATGACAAAATTTTCTAAAAAAGATAATGTCAAGACAAAATTTTTTAATAAAATGTTTCAAATCTTTATTTTCTTAAAAAATTATGTCAAGACAAAATTTACTTAAATAATTATGTCAAGACAAAATTTTTTAAAAAAATTATATCAAGACAAAATTTTTTTAAAAAATTATATCTAGACAAAATTGTGTAAAAAAATGTATATCAAGACAAAATTGTATAAAAAGATGTATATCAAGACAAAATTTTCAAAAGAAATTTATATCAAGATAAAATTTCCTACAGAAATATATCTATGTTTATGTATGTATATCCTAACACCAAATTCTTTAAAGAAATTCATGTCTAAACACAAAATTATCTAAAGAAATTAATGTTTTTGATAAAAATGTCTAAAAAAGTTATGTCAAGACAAAATTTCTATAAAAATGTATATTAAGACAAAATGTTTTATAAAAATTTATATCAAGACAAAGTTTTTTAAAGAAATTTATGTTAAGGACAAAATTTTCTTCCGTTCACACCCACATGTCAAGACAAATTTATGTCTTGACATAATTTTGTCATGACAAAAATTTTTGTTTTGACATAATTTTCTAAAAAAATTTAAAAAAAAAATTTTATATAATTTATTTTTCATTTACTTACCTATCCGTTCCACCAGCCAAAAAATAAACTCCCGTAAATATGGCATATGCTAAACCAATGCCAGTTGTAAAATAGACATGACTTAACTTAATTGGATGTCCCACAATGGCCAAATCGATAAGCATTATAATCGAATTTAAGACATGCACCATGATGTTTAATGTGTCAATTTTATGTATTTCTGGAAAAGACAAATAAAATTGGAAACAACAGCACAATGGCAGAACCAACAAGAAGAAGAAAGGTCAATATCAGTTTCAAAATAAAATAAACAAACTAAAATTTGCAAAACTATTTTTACACAACATCAAAAACCAAACAAAAAATATCTGAACTTAAAAACAAAGTAATTAAAAAGCAAGAAACTATAAGGGACATTAGCAATATAAAGAAGGACACATCACATACACACACAGAAGAAACTATACTCCTACATGTCTACTTGTACAAATACAGGTGACTTACATGCAGTTACATTTTGTAAAAGGATTTTCTATAAAGGTTGTGTGTGTGTCAATTGTATGTAAATATTTAGTAAAACATATAGAGACGACGACCATTTCGAAATGTCATTTACAATTGTTAGGAAAAGTATAATTTTCAGTTAAGGTTAATTTGCCTTTTACATAAAAGCCTCAATGTATCTACAAGGATTTAAGTTGTCATAACAATTGTTGTCAGAATGTTGATAAGAATTTGCAAGGTTTTTTTTTTGCCAGAATATATTTTCAATGGTTTAAATGCAATATAAATATGCATTTAAGCAGATTTAGAGTAAATTAATTGTAAATACTTTAACAAGGACTTAAATTGTAATTTTAAGGGAATTAAAAGAAAAGGACACTTAAACAGAATTTTCCAATAAAGCAATATGTCAAACAAAATTAAAAACAAATATATATGTAAAGCAGGGCTAAATTTTCTAAAAAAAATATGTTAAAATAAATTTTCTAAAGAAATTTATGTCATGACATATTTATGTCTTAACTACTTATGTCAAGACATATTTTTCTAATGAAATGTTTGTCTAAGACAAATTTTTCTAAATAAATTTATGTCTTAACAAAAATTTTCCAAAAAAATTTACGTCTTAACACAAAATTTTCAAAAAAATCTATGTCAAGACAAACTTTTCTTAAGAAATTTATGTCAGAGACAAAATTTTCTATAGAGAATTATGTCTGAGACAAAATGTTCTATAGTGAATTATATCAGAGACAAAATTTTCTATAGAGAATTATGTCAGAGACAAAATTTTCTATAGAGAATTATGTCAGAGACAAAATTTTCTATAGAGAATTATGTCAGAGACAAAATTTTCTATAGAGAATTATGTCAGAGACAAAATTTTCTATAGAGAATTATGTCAGAGACAAAATTTTCTATAGAGAATTATGTCAGAGACAAAATTTTCTATAGAGAATTATGTCAGAGACAAAATTTTCTATAGAGAATTATGTCAGAGACAAAATTTTCTATAGAGAATTATGTCAGAGACAAAATTTTCTATAGAGAATTATGTCAGAGACAAAATTTTCTATAGAGAATTATGTCAGAGACAAAATTTTCTATAGAGAATTATGTCAGAGACAAAATTTTCTATAGAGAATTATGTCAGAGACAAAATTTTCTATAGAGAATTATGTCAGAGACAAAATTTTCTATAGAGAATTATGTCAGAGACAAAATTTTCTATAGAGAATTATGTCAGAGACAAAATTTTCTATAGAGAATTATGTCAGAGACAAAATTTTCTATAGAGAATTATGTCAGAGACAAAATTTTCTATAGAGAATTATGTCAGAGACAAAATTTTCTATAGAGAATTATGTCAGAGACAAAATTTTCTATAGAGAATTATGTCAGAGACAAAATTTTCTATAGAGAATTATGTCAGAGACAAAATTTTCTATAGAGAATTATGTCAGAGACAAAATTTTCTATAGAGAATTATGTCAGAGACAAAATTTTCTATAGAGAATTATGTCAGAGACAAAATTTTCTATAGAGAATTATGTCAGAGACAAAATTTTCTATAGAGAATTATGTCAGAGACAAAATTTTCTATAGAGAATTATGTCAGAGACAAAATTTTCTATAGAGAATTATGTCAGAGACAAAATTTTCTATAGAGAATTATGTCAGAGACAAAATTTTCTATAGAGAATTATGTCAGAGACAAAATTTTCTATAGAGAATTATGTCAGAGACAAAATTTTCTATAGAGAATTATGTCAGAGACAAAATTTTCTATAGAGAATTATGTCAGAGACAAAATTTTCTATAGAGAATTATGTCAGAGACAAAATTTTCTATAGAGAATTATGTCAGAGACAAAATTTTCCATAGAGAATTATGTCAGAGACAAAATTTTCCATAGAGAATTATGTCAGAGACAAAATTTTCCATAGAGAATTATGTCAGAGACAAAATTTTCCATAGAGAATTATGTCAGAGACAAAATTTTCCATAGAAAATTATGTCAGAGACAAAATTTTCTATAGAGAATTATGTCAGAGACAAAATTTTCTATAGAGAATTATGTCAGAGACAAAATTTTCTATAGAGAATTATGTCAGAGACAAAATTTTCTATAGAGAATTATGTCAGAGACAAAATTTTCTATAGAGAATTATGTCAGAGACAAAATTTTCTATAGAGAATTATGTCAGAGACAAAATTTTCTATAGAGAATTATGTCAGAGACAAAATTTTTTATAGAGAATCATGTCAGAGACAAAATTTTCTATAGAGAATTATGTCAGAGACAAAATTTTTTATAGAGAATTATGTCAGAGACAAAGTTTTCTATAGAGAATTATGTCAGAGACAAAATTTTCTATAGAGAATTATGTCAGAGACAAAATTTTCTATAGAGAATTATGTCAGAGACAAAATTTTCTATAGAGAATTATGTCAGAGACAAAATTTTCTATAGAGAATTATGTCAGAGACAAAATTTTCTATAGAGAATTATGTCAGAGACAAAATTTTCTATAGAGAATTATGTCAGAGACAAAATTTTCTATAGAGAATTATGTCAGAGGCAAAATTTTCTATAGAGAATTATGTCAGAGATAAAATTTTCTATAGAGAATTATGTCAGAGATAAAATTTTCTATAGAGAATTATGTCAGAGACAAAATTTTCTATAGAGAATTATGTCAGAGACAAAATTTTCTATAGAGAATTATGTCAGAGACAAAATTTTCTATAGAGAATTATGTCAGAGACAAAATTTTCTATAGAGAATTATGTCAGAGACAAAATTTTCTATAGAGAATTATGTCAGAGACAAAATTTTCTATAGAGAATTATGTCAGAGACAAAATTTTCTATAGAGAATTATGTCAGAGACAAAATTTTCTATAGAGATTTATGTGAGAGACAAAATTTTCTATAGAGATTTATGTGAGAGACAAAATTTTCTATAGAGAATTATGTCAGAGACAAAATTTTCTATAGAGAATTATGTCAGAGACAAAATTTTCTATAGAGAATTATGTCAGAGACAAAATTTTCTATAGAGAATTATGTCAGAGACAAAATTTTCAATAGAGAATTATGTCAGAGACAAAATTTTCTATAGAGAATTATGTCAGAGACAAAATTTTCTATAGAGAATTATGTCAGAGACAAAATTTTCTATAGAGAATTATGTCAGAGACAAAATTTTCTATAGAGAATTATGTCAGAGACAAAATTTTCTATAGAGAATTATGTCAGAGACAAAATTTTCTATAGAGAATTATGTCAGAGACAAAATTTTCTATAGAGAATTATGTCAGAGACAAAATTTTCTATAGAGAATTATGTCAGAGACAAAATTTTCAATAGAGAATTATGTCAGAGACAAAATTTTCTATAGAGAATTATGTCAGAGACAAAATTTTCTATAGAGAATTATGTCAGAGACAAAATTTTCTATAGAGAATTATGTCAGAGACAAAATTTTCTATAGAGAATTATGTCAGAGACAAAATTTTCTATAGAGAATTATGTCAGAGACAAAATTTTCTATAGAGAATTATGTCAGAGACAAAATTTTCTATAGAGAATTATGTCAGAGACAAAATTTTCTATAGAAACTTATGTCTTAACACAATATCTTTTAAAGAAATTTATGTCTTAGCCAATATCTAAAGAAATTTATGTCTAAGAGAAAACTTTCCAAAGAAATTTATGTCTTAACACAAAATTTTCTAAAAAAAATCTATGTTAAGACAATATTTGTCAAAAACATTTGTATCAAGACTTAATTTTCCAAAAAATTTATGTCAAGACAACATTTTTCAAAAAAATTGATATCAAGACAAAATGTCAAGACATAATTTTCCAAAGGAATTTATATCAAGACAACATTTTTTAAAGAAATTTATGTCTTAGACAGACTTTTTCTAAAGACAATAGTTTCTTTAGAAAAAATTTTGTTATGACATAAATTTCTTTAAAAAAAAATTGTGTTATGACATAAATATCTATAGAGAAAACTGCTGCTTTAGTTTAGGACTCAAAATAAATTTTTCCTTAAATTAAAATTTAAACAAAAAAACTGAAAACTTTTCTCTACTATAATGTTTGGTCAAAAAAGTTGTTTTATTTCTCACCCCACTCACCTGGATCATGGACTAACAACCAATAACACATCGTTATTATAAAAGCATAGACGGTGGCACACGTGTACAGCACCCAATAGAGAAGATGTAATTTTGATTTTTTCGCCTGACGCATTAACTCAAAGTCTTCTCGCTCTACCATCATGCCCTGCGTTACAATCATGGCGGCCAACCATGCTTGAACCGTACAGAAGAGCAGACCCCAATGGGTGAGATAAATCCACCATTTGGCATAATGATTTTCGAAACGTTCATCAGTACGTCCGATATCGAGTAGTGAACATACCAGAGCAGCCAGACAAATAATGGCCGTAATCCAGCGATAGAAGAGATAGATAATGCGCACTTGGGTATTGCGCTGCCATTGGCAGAGATAGAAATTGTGACGATGCACATGCTCGGGTGTGACATCGGGAAAGCAACCCTTCCACAGTTTGCTCACCATCATTCTATGACGCTGTATAAACCCAAGATTTGAAGCTAAATGATGGAAATTTTCACAACTTCCGGGTGTTGAGCGTGTGGAGTAAATGTTGCTGGTACTGCTGGTGGTGTGAAAGTGTTGTTGTTGTTGCTGCTGCTGGTGTTGTTGTTGATCCTGATAGTGATATTGTTGTTGTTGTTGCTGTTGTCTTTGGGGAGTAGTTTGTTGATGATAATCCCTAGGATCTGTAGAAGTTTTATGAGTCCTTTTATGCGTGTGATATGTGCTATTGCTGGGCGTTTGTTCGGTGTTGTAGGGCTGATACGGTTGTGGTTGCTCCAATTTGGGCAAATGTTGATGATGATGTGAGTGCTGATGTTGGTGATGGCTGGAGGAGGTTTGTGAGGAGGTATTATGCGGATAATGAGGCGGCGTATGTGTTAAAGCGCCTGCTGATGCTGATGCTTTGGATGTTACTGTACCAGCGCCGGCGGTATTGGACGATGATGTATCGTATGCTTGTGTATGATATTGTGATTCGTGGGCGTTGGCTGGTTGTAGGGACGACGTTTTGCTGCTGTATTTAGGACTCCCACAAGGAGATAAATATTTCTCTCTTCTCAACGAACGCGGCGAAGCACCCACTCTTATGGGTGACAAACGATCGATGGCCGTAAACGAAGACCGCCCTAAACTGCAGTTACTTTGCAAGCTATTGGTGCGTAATCTAGAGCGACCCACAAATTCACGATCCCTATAACGATCACAGTCTATAATGGGACTAAAGCCACGACTTCTTTGTCGGGTAGTATAATAACCGGTAGCTGAATAACGACCGCCTGTATCACGTTGACGTCGTGGTCTATAGGCGTAAGTATCGCTGCGCAAGGAGGCCGGTGGTGAGGGTATATAATCTATAGGCCTTGACGAATAGGTAGACAAGTAGGGCTCAGTGCTTACTTGCAGATCGTCATCTAGGGGTGGCAGCAATGGTGGTGGTGGTGGCGGGGGTAATTTTAGTAAACTACTGCGAGGCTCTGAAACCGAAGTGGCTAGCAGAGGTCCCGTATGAGCCGCCGCTGGTGATATGCGTCCAAAATAATCTCCACCTCCTGATACTCCTCCTCCTCCGCCACTCGATTGAAAGGGATAGTAACTCTCGCCGAAACTTAAACTATAATAACCGTTGTAACTGCTATTGCCTCCGAGACCTGTTGAGGCGTGTTGTTTATAATAACGATAGCTACGTCCTAAGGGGGTGTAACCAACACCTCCTCCTCCTCCACCCAAGCCTGCACTTAATCCTCCCAGTCCCAGTCCGCTTAGGCCCAAACCAAAGCCCGCTGTTGCTGCTGTATCGCCCAAATAACTGCCCGGACTAATGCTACTGCCAAACAACGATTTGTGGTAATACGATGGTGGTGGTGGTGTTGCTGCCGACTGCAGATGTTGCTGACTGTAGAATGGATTGTACAGTTGTTGGTGATGATGTTGCTGCTGCAATAATTGTTGCTGCAACTGCTGTTGCTGTAGATTATAATTGTAATTGTAATTATAATATGTTGGCGGCGTTGTTGATGAGTCTTGTTGCTGCTGCTGTTGCAGTTGCAATTGTAATTGCTGCTGTTGTTGTTGCTGATAGAGTGGTGAACGTGATTGCGTAATGTTGCTGTTAATGAAATTGTTGGTGTTTGTTAAAAAATTATTAAAAAACGACGACGCTGATCCTGACGACTCGTACAACGATGTTGGTACTAGTTGTTGTTGTTGTAATAATTGTTGTTGTAATAGTAATTGCGGTCTGGTGGGGCCACTAATTGGCTCTGGACAAAAATAAAACTGCGCGTAATCCAATGTGATGAGAATGGTGCTGATATTTTAATATCTTTCTCCGTTCACCCGAAATTATAGCGAAAGTTATAATCAAAATATTCAAGATGATAATGAAGATGATGTTACGGCAAATGAAGAAGATGTTAATGATGTTTATTGTTAAATTATTAAAGTTGTCAATGTAAATAATACTGAATTTAAAAATACTGTTGATTATATTAAAGTTGAAATTAGATTTAAATTTGAAATTAAATTGTGATTTATTTAAGGAGAACAGCTTGATTTTTTTCGAAATAATTCTCAAGTTGTTAAAATATTTAATGCTTTCTGGCAGGTTTTAAACTAAATTTGAAATAAATTTAGTTTCAGCGGCAAAAAATCTGTAAAGAAATTAAAAAAAAAATATAAAAAATTAGTTAAACTGTTAAGAAATTAAAAAAAAATATGTCAAGACAAAATTTTCTAAAGAAATTTTATGTCATGACAAAATTTTGAAAAGAGATTTATTGCAAGAAACATTTTTTTTTTAAATATATTTTATGTCAAGGAAAAATTTTCTAAAGAAATTTATGGCAAGATAAAATCTTCAAAAGAAATTTATGTCAAGAGAAAATTTTCGAAAGAAATTTATGTCAAGACATCATTTTTTAAAGAAATTTATGTCTATGACAAAATTTTTTAAAGAAATTTATGTTTGAAACAAAATTTTCTAAAGATATTTATGTCAAGACAAAATTTTTTTAAGAAATTTATATCTAAGACAAAATTTTCTAAAGAAATGTATGTCTAAGTCAAAATTTTCTAATGAAATTTATATCAGGACAAAATTTTGTAAAGTAATTTATGTCAAAACAAAATTTTCTAAAGAAATTTATGTCTAAGACAAAACTTTCTATAAAAATTTATGTCTAAATCAAAATTTTCCAAAGAAATTTATGTCAGGACAAAATTTTTTAGGGAAATCTATATCTAAGCAAAAATTTTTTAAGGAATTTTATGTCTAGGGCAACTTTCTAAAAAAAATTTATGTCTGACAAATGTTTTTAAAGAAACTTATTTATGTCAGGACAAAATTCTGTAAAGCAATGTATGTCAAGACAAAATTTTCTAAAGAAATTTATGGCAAGACAAAATTTTTTATGTCAAGAAAAAATTTTCTACAAAAGTTTATGTCAAGATAAAAATTTCTAAAGAAATTTATATCTAAGACAAAATTTTCTAAAGAAATGTATGTCTAAGTCAAAATTTTCTAATGAAATTTATATCAGGACAAAATTTTGTAAAGTAATTTATGTCAAAACAAAATTTTCTAAAAAAATTTATGTCAAGGTAAAATTTTCTGAAGAAATTTATGTCTAAGACAAAACTTTCTATATAAATTTATGTCTAAATCAAAATTTTCCATAGAAATTTATGTCAGGACAAAATTTTTTAAAGAAATCTATTTCTATGCAAAATTTTCTGATGAATTTTATGTCTAGGACAACTTTCTAAAGAAATTTATGTTTGAGAATGTTTTTAAATAAACTTATTTATGTCAGGGCACAATTCTGTAAAGCAATTTATGTCAAGACAAAATTTTCTAAAGAAATTTATGTCTAAGACAAAATTTTGTAATGAAATTTCTATCAGGATAAAATTTTGTAAAGCAATTTATGTCAAAACAAAATTTTTCAATAAAATATATGTCAAGATAAAATTTTCTAAAGAAATTTATGTCAGGACAAAATTTTTTAAGGAAATCTATGTCTAAGCAAAAAATTTCTAAGGAATTTTATGTCTAGGGCAACTTTCTAAAGAAATTTATGTCTGACAAATGTTTTTAAAGAAACTTATTTATGTCAGGACAAAATTCTGTAAAGCAATGTATGTCAAGACAAAATTTTTTAAAGGAATTAATGTCATGACAAAATTTTTTATGTCAAGAAAAAAATTTTCTAAAAAAATTTATGTCAAGATAAAATTTTCTAAAGAAATTTATATCCAAGACAAAACTTTCTATAAAAATTTATGTCTAAATCAAAATTTTGTAAAGATATTTATGTCAGGACCTAATTTTTTAAGGAAATTTATGTCTAAACAAACATTTTTTAAAGAATTTTACTAGGACAACTTTTTTAAGAAATTTATGTCTGACAAATGTTTTCAAAGAAACTTATTTATGCCAGGACATAATTCTGTAGAGCATTTTATGTCAAGACAGAATTTTCTAAAAAGAATTATGTCAAGACAAAATTTTCTAAAAAAATTTATATCAAGATAAAATTTTCTAAAGAAATTTATGTCCAAGACAAAATTTTCTTAAGAAATTTATGTCAAGATAAAATATTCTAAAAAAAATTATGTCAAGACAAAATTTTCTAAAAGAATTTATGTCTAAGACAAAATTTTCTAAAAAATTTATGTCAAGATAAAATTTTCTAAAGAAATTTATGTCCAAGACAAAATTTTCTTAAGAAATTTATGTCAAGACAAAATTTCCTTAAGAAATTTAAGTCTAAGAGAAAATTTTTTTAAGAAAATTTTTCTAAAACAATTTAGGTCTAAGACAAAATTTTCTCATGAAATTTATGTCAAGACAAAATTATCTCCAGAAATTTATGTCAAGACATAATTTTTTATACATTATTTGATTCAAAATAAAATATGGAAAAAAATATTAAAATGTTTTTTTGGCAACTTTTCTAGATTTTACGTTAAAAGTTTTGCTTTTTTTATGCACAAAAGATTCGAGAACATTTTACTCAATTACTTTTCAATGACAGTCAAGCCACCAGCATCTTAAAAATGAAGACACATTTAGATAAACACTTAAAATTTTTTGATATTTTTTAAAACACTCACTTACAGTTAGTGATTTTAACACAAACAGACAGCAGCAAACATATACATATACTTTCACATTAAACTAACGGTTTTAAGTGACGTCAAAAGTGTTTGAAAAATCTCTAAAGGACACTTTCACTTCCCCTACAGCCAAGAAATTAAAACTAAATGTTTAAAAAAGGAGAGAAAATATGCTCCGAGGAAAAAGAAAAAAACAAACACTTTCTCTCTGGCTCATAAACGCACGAATAACAATTTTAAACATACAAACACATACATAAGGATTAATATAATTCTTGTTAAATTTACGAGATCCTTGTTAATGCTGGTATATAACATGTTAGATTTACAGTAAAAAACAGAGCAAAGACAGTCCTTTGTAAAGTTACTTTTAAATTTAATCAGTTAAATAATAAACTTTAATTAAAGTACAAATAATTCTAAAATAATTGTAAACCTCAATCTTAAGAAATAGTCCTTTTTAATAAAAAACATCTACTTTTTTAAATGACTTCTCAGTTGAACCTCGTTACAGTAAGTGCAATGCAAACATTCTATTCAAATTTCTATACTAGTGTTTTATTTCCTTGTAGTTTCCTTCTCGCGCTAACATGAAAACCTCTAAAATTATTATATTATTTTATTGTTGTCTCTCTTATCTTTTAAGGAAACTTAGGGAATTGTTTAAGGAAACATTTTACCAAAAATTTCGGGGAAAAAAGAAAAATAAAACTAAAATGTTTTCAGTAACAATAAACTGCCCTTCAAGCTGTTGGTTTTAACAATTTGTGACTGAGTGTGTGCGTGTAATTAATCTTGTTAAAACTAATAAAAATTTAAATAAAAATCTTAAAAGAATTAAATTTACTTATAATAGAACAGTTTTTAAAGAAATTTTTAAAAAATTATTCAAAATTATGTCTTACCATAAATTTTTGTAGAAAATTTTGTCTTTAGAAAATATTGTCTTAGCATAAATTTCTTTAGATAATTTTGCGTTAAGACATTAATTTCTTTTTATGTTAAGACTAGACTACACAATAGACTAGACTATAGACTAGACTATAGACTAGACTATAGACTACACTATAGACTAGACTATAGACTAGAATAGACTAGACTATAGACTAGACTATAGACTAGACTATAGACTAGACTATAGACTAGACTATAGACTAGACTATAGACTAGACTATAGACTAGACTATAGACTAGACTATAGACTAGACTATAGACTAGACTATAGACTAGACTATAGACTAGACTATAGACTAGACTATAGACTAGACTATAGACTAGACTATAGACTAGACTATAGACTAGACTATAGACTAGACTATAGACTAGACTATAGACTAGACTATAGACTAGACTATAGACTAGACTATAGACTAGACTATAGACTAGACTATAGACTAGACTATAGACTAGACTATAGACTAGACTATAGACTAGACTATAGACTAGACTATAGACTAGACTATAGACTAGACTATAGACTAGACTATAGACTAGACTATAGACTAGACTATAGACTAGACTATAGACTAGACTATAGACTAGACTATAGACTAGACTATAGACTAGACTATAGACTAGACTATAGACTAGACTATAGACTAGACTATAGACTAGACTATAGACTAGACTAGACTACTAGACTATAGACTAGACTATAGACTAGACTATAGACTAGACTATAGACTAGACTATAGACTAGACTATAGACTAGACTATAGACTAGACTATAGACTAGACTATAGACTAGACTAGACTATAGACTAGACTATAGACTAGACTATAGACTACACTATAGACTACACTATAGACTAGACTATAGACTAGACTATAGACTAGACTATAGACTAGACTATAGACTAGACTATAGACTAGACTATAGACGAGACTATAGACTAGACTATAGACTAGACTATAGACTAGACTATAGACTAGACTATAGACTAGACTATAGACTAGACTATAGACTAGACTATAGACTAGACTACACTATAGACTAGACTACACTATAGACTAGACTATAGACTAGACCACACTATAGACTAGACTATAGACAAGACTATAGACTAGACTATAGACTAGACTATAGACTAGACTATAGACTAGACTATAGACTAGACTATAGACTAGACTATAGACTAGACTATAGACTAGACTATAGACTAGACTATAGACTAGACTATAGACTAGACTAGACT